CCTCCTGGGTTCAGGCAATTCTCCTGCCTCAGCCTCCCGGTAGCTGGGATTACAGGCATGCACCACCACGCCCAGCTAATTATTGTATTTTTTTAAAGTAGAGACGGGGTTTCACCATATTGACCAGGTTGGTCTCAATCTCTTGACCTCGTGGTCCGCCCATCTCGGCCTCCCAAAGTGCTGGGATTACAGGTGTGAGCCACCGTGCCCGGCCTTTTGAGATAGAATCTCACCCTGTCACCCAGGCTGCAGTACAGTGGTGCAATCTCAGCTCACTGCTACCTCTGCCTCCCAGGTTCAAGTGATTATCCTGCCTCAGCCTCCTGAGTAGTGGGGATTGCAGGCACGGACCACCACAACTGACTAATTTTCATATTTTTAGTAGAGATGGGGTCTCACCAAGTTGGTCAGGCTGGTCTTGAACTCCTGACCTTGTGATCTGCCCACTTCAGCCTCCCAAACTGCTGGGATTACAGGCGTGAGCCTATGCACCTGGCCATTTCTTAACCCTTCTGACCCTCAGTTTCCCCATGTAGAAAGTTGACTGGTGCCATGATTAAGGCAGGCTCTTCTACTGTGGACCCTCCCCTGCCAAATGTTTCCTGCAGACCCCAGGACTGTGGCCACCATGCGTAAGCCCCGCTGCTCCCTACCTGATGTGCTGGGGGTGGCGGGGCTGGTCAGGCGTCGGCGCCGGTACGCCCTGAGCGGCAGCGTGTGGAAGAAGCGCACCCTGACGTGGAGGTAGGTCGCTGGGTCACCCGCACCCTGGGCGGGACTGCCGGGCCCCAGCTTTGAATGGTTGCCTGCACCCTCCACAGCCGCCCTTACACCTCGATCCCTTCTCCCCAGGGTGCGTTCCTTCCCCCAGAGTTCCCAGCTGAGGCCGGAGACCGTACGGGTCCTCATGAACTATGCCCTGATGGCCTGGGGCATGGAGACAGATCTCAAATTCCATGAGGTGGATTCCCCTCAGGGCCAGGAGCCTGACATCCTCGTTGACTTTGCCAGCGCCTTCCACCAGGACAGCTACCCCTTCGACGGAGTGGGGGGCACCCTAGCCCATGCCTTCTTCCCCGGGGAGCACCCCATCTCTGGGGACACTCACTTTGATGATGAGGAGACCTGGACTTTTGGGTCAAAAGGTAAAATCTCCTCTCTTATGAGAGATCCTCTTCTGGTCTGGTCTTCAGAATATGTTTTCTGTTGTGTGTTTTGTTTAAGAGACAGGGTCTCGCTCTGTTGCTCAGGCTGGAGCGCAGTGGTGCAATCATAGCTCACTGGAGCCTTGAACTTCTAGGCTCAAGCAATCCTCCCC